TTTGTTCTTTGAGGTAGAAAATTACATTGTTATGAAACTTTGATAAGAGGGACCACTATGGCTGCTTTAGAAGCAAATGGATTAGAGCAAAAAAAGACTTTAATGTATCCTGTGACTTGGAACAAGTTATCTAGATAGATACAATTATATTTTAAAAATACTCCAATTTAAATTAACATATCTAATTTTAAATTTATTGACACACATATATTATTTTGAGTTTTGAAATTCTCATTTCTGTCATGGTCATATCAGACATTATTAAGCCAAGTTTTTTTTATTCAATGTGACAAAGCTTAAGATGCCAGGAATACTTTTAAGATATAATTTGTTTTAAAGATTTATTTATTTCTTTGAAAGTCAGAGCTACACAGAGAGAAGAAAGGCAGAGAGAGAGAGGTCCTCCCTCCCATAGTTCACTCCCCAGATGTCCGCAGTGGCTGTAGCTGTGCCAATCTGAAGCCAGGAGCCAGGAGCTTCCTCTGGGTCTCCCACGTGGGTACAGGGGCCCAAGGACCTGGGCCATCTTCTACTGCCCTCCCAGGCCATAGCAGAGAGCTGGATCAGAAGAGGAGCAGTCGGGACTAGAACCAGCGCTCATATGGGATGCCAGCACTTCAGGCCAGGGCATTAACCCACTGCACCACAGTGCTGGCCCCATAATTTGTTTTATAACAACTGTATTCTAAACTATAGATTTTTAGAATATAGTTAGGGGCTGGTGTTGTCATTCATTTGTTAAGCTGCTACCTGGGACGCCTGTGTCCCATATTGAGTCCTGGCTACTGCACTTCGTGATTTTTTAGCTTCCTGGTAATGTGCCTGGGAAGCAGGGGATGATGATTCAGTTATTGAGTTCCTGTCACTAAGTGGGAGACCTGGATGGAGTTCCTGGCTCCTTGCTTCAGCCTGGCCCCATCCTAGCTGTTGTAGGCATTTAGGGATGGAAGATCTGTCTCTCTGTGTCATAATGTCTTTCAAATAAATAAATCTTTTTAAAAATGAGTTTATACTGTCGTTTCCTATGTTACACATTTATAAGTAGAAACATTGTGATTATTTAATTCTCACATAAACATGATATCAGTAATGTTCTCCCCATTTTTGTGTGGAAAAAATTAAACCACAGAGAGGTAAATCATTTTTCTGAGATTACATAGCTAGTACATTTTGGAGTGATGACATAATCAGAGGCATATTCTGACTAGGATTCAAGCTTTTAACTACTATATGCAGTAGAAACCTAAATTGAGAAAATGGATTCCTAAGTGCAGAGAAATCTGCCTTTTCTGGAAGAATTTTAAAAACATTGTGTTGCAGGTGTATTCAGAAAGCAGATGGATTAAAACTAAAGTGCAGAAGTTCTATTTGTGATAGGAAATGCTGGAAAAAGTAATTAGTAAAAGGTATTTGGAAGTACCACAACCTATTCTGCCATACATTGTAATACTCTACATACAGCTTTAGGGGGATTCAAGGATTAACTAAAGAATAGAGTCTATGTTTTTAGTTTAAAGAATGGAACAAAGAAAGCAATGGGAGAAGGAAGCAAATGATGAGTGGTTGTCTAGTGGTAGGAGAGAGTGGACACTAGATCTTTGAGGACCTACTGTGTTTGTGTTACACTTCAAAGCTTGGAGCCATATTTGGGTTTATGATTTTAGTAAATAGTTGCTGGTGTTTGGTGCAGTGGTTAAGACTCCACTTGTGATGCCCACAGCCTTTAGCAGAGTGCTTGAATTCAGGCCCTGGCTTTGCTTCTGATTCCGACTTCCTGGTAGTGTGCTCCCTGGGAGGCAGCAGGAGACAGCTCAGGTCCTTGGATCCCTGCCACCAATGTGGGAGACTGGGTCAAGTTTCTGGCTCCTGGCTTCAACATGGCTCAGTCCTGGCAGTTGTGAGCATTAGGGCAATGAACCAGCAGATGGAAGATCTCTGTCTGGCTCTCTGCCTTTCAAATAAATAAAAAGTTTAAAAAAGCAAAAGCAGTTCCTAAAGAAAAAGACTGAAGAATTTAACTAATATACTACTGGTGACAGTCATCTGAGAAGAGTATTTCAAGTAACTTTATTTAATAGTTTACATTTATACCCCTAGTGGAATATAATGTTGGAGCAAATAAAATCAAATTTAAATTACATTCAGTCTATTACTGTTATTAGTAATGCTAGTATGACTTAAATCTTGTATATTTGTGTTAAATATGTTTATTAGGATCTGAGATTTTTCATTTTGAGAACACGTATTAGCATTTCATATAAATTTGTCACAGGCTTATTCAAATTCAGTATGTCAAAATGGAAACTCACTGTTGGCATTACAGTTGTTCCTGTTGCACCAGATGTGAGAACAGGGAGCATTGTGAGACTCATCACTGACAGCCCACTGTTCAGCTGTTCTGTATCTCATCATTACTATCTTCTGAATTTTTAGTATCTTCTCTGCTTGGTCCACAAGTATGATAGTGGTATTTTTCTGCTTAATTTTTCAAAAATTATCTCATTTTTCTGTGATTTTTTGCTCTTAATGATTCCTGACCTTTTTTAAAAAATTGATTTTATCTGTTGGAAAGGCTTAGAGAAAGAGAGAGTGTGGGAGAAATTACCTTCCATCCACTTACTCACTCCCCAAATGCCCTCAACACCTGTGGCTGGGCCAGGCCGAAGCCAGGAGTCAGGAACTCAATCCTGGTCTCTAATGTGGGTGGCATACTCCTGAGTTCTAGGAGAGAGACAAGTGGTGAACAGATAGATGAGGTGAATCAGACTGCATCTCCGCTTTCTTCCTTAGAATTCAGCTTGCTCTAACTAGGGAGTCAGCATCTTTAGTTTCTTCTCCCTGCATCCAGTCTTTATTTCTCATTTCCTTTTTCTCTTAAAATTATGCTCCCCAACCCCCGGATCCCTTCAGTGTAATGTTAGTGGGGTTTCAGGAAGGAATGCAGATAAATGTGTTTTTAAGCAGTCAGCTAATTGCATTACTTCCTCCCATTCACAGATAAACAATGGTGACATCTTCATCTCCTACCTCATCTATAGATCTTCCTTGTTTATCTCTCTTCCCAGATGTAATTTTTTTAAAAGAAAAATAAATTTTATTGAGTTGGCATTTAAATTTTTATATCCTCTTGTTTTTAATCAAGAAGTGGAATCTTTTATCCCTGATAGTTCTTGGCCTACAGTAACATTTTTATATTTTTAATACTGTCTTTGGACATTTACTTCAATTCTTGCTCAAAGTTGAGAATGTTGTCAGTTATGGGAGTTGTTTGTATACCTTGGAAATGTTTCAAAATGCTTGGAAATGATTGATTGCCATTGCCCTTTGTTGGCACATAATGAGCAGGGGCCAGCAATGCTAATAGGCCTTCAGTGCATGGATTAGTTGTATATAGTAAACAGTTTTGTCACTCAGAATGCCAGTGGTAGATCTGGAAGTCATTGGAGATTTTTGGCCCGACCCTGGGCCTGGTTCCTTGCCCACAGTCCTCTTAGGTAGTGTCTGTCCTTTCCCACCTCTGAAGCCCTTGGGCAGAAGCATGGAACAGATGTCCTTGTTGGTCCTTATTGCTGCTTCTTGACCTCTTTCTCTTAGCCTTTCTCTCTAAAAAGTAAAAAATAAAATAAAATAAACATGTAAGCAAAAATTCAGCCCTGCAAGAATTTTATAATTATCCACCTTCTTATAGAGGAAACACCTCACTTACAAAAAACTAATTTCTGGGGTGGGCATTCGGTGCAGCCGTTAAGATGCTGCACCCGAGTGCCTGGGCTTGAGTGCTGCCTCGCCTTCCAGTTTCAGCTTTCTGCTAGTATAGACCATGGGAGGCAGCAGTTGATGGCTCAAGTATTTGGGTCCTTTCTCTACCTCTGTGGGAGACCTGAATTGAGATCCAGCCTCTTAGCTTTGGCCTGGCTCAACCCTGGCTGTTGTGGGCATTTCTGGAGTGAACCAGAGCAGATGGGACATTTTTCTGCCTTTCTTTCTTGCTCTTTGTCATTCAAATAAAATGAAAAAAAAAAAAAATTTTTTTTTTCTACTACAAGTTTTCACACGTATCAATACAACAAATACTGTGTGTAACTGAAATATAGTGATAAATAAATATGCAGTATATACGCAACATACCCTTTCTCCTCCAGCTTATTGATGAACTTAAATATATATTTATTTTTCATCGGTGAGATATTTGCCACTGACTTCCCTTTTCATGATTAAAAGCAAATAGTTCTTAAATGCCTTTTACTGTTTCTACTATTTCAATATTCTCTAACAGTTGTTTAAAGCACAGGGCAAGAATTACATTAACAGCATGATGCTTTAAGTTGTTACAATGGGATTATAGCTGTGTCTAAATACCCTACTTTATATCAAACTGCAGTTTTTTTTTTCTTTTCTTTTTTGTTTTGTTTTTGACAGGCAGAGTGGACAGTGAGAGAGAGACAGAGAGAAACGTTTTCCTTTTGCCGTTGGTTCACCCTCCAATGGCTGCCGCAGCAGGCGCGCTGTGCCCGGCGCAACGCGCTGATCCAAAGGCAGGAGCCAGGTGCTTCTCCTGGTCTCCCATGGGGTGCAGGGCCCAAGCACTTGGGCCATCCTCCACTGCACTCCCGGGCCATAGCAGAGAGCTGGCCTGGAAGAGGGGCAACCGAGACAGAATCTGGCGCCCTGGTCGGGACTAGAACCCGGTGTGCCGGCGCCGCTAGGTGGAGGATTCGCCTATTGAGCCACGGCGCTGGCCTCAAACTGCAGTTTTTTAAAAATGTTTTTTAAGCTGTGTCTACTGCTTGAATTAGTGTATTATGTATGTATGGAGGTTTCAAAAAGTTCATGGAAAAATGGAATTAAAAGATAATGTACAGTTCTTAGCTTTTTAAAGCCTCTGCAAATTCTCAAGCTTGGGGTCTGATATTTAGTATAGTGCATTGTTTTCTTACCTGTGATTTGCATGAAGCTGACTTGCTGTTTGAATATTACCAATGTGTCTTTCTGGTTTTTAGGTTGTGGAAAATGCTCTTAAAGTGAATCCAGTATTAGGCCCGCAAATGTTTCAACCAATTTTACCCTGTGTTTTCAGGGGTATTATAGAAGGAGAGGTAAGATTTCTGTTAACTAAGGTAGCATTGCACTCCAAGGTCTCATTTTAATTGTTCTCCTTCAACAGATCATTTCTTCTTTGTAAGATTTAAAAAGAAAGCTTTCCTTATATCTTGGAAATTAAATGAAGGTCAGCTTTCAGGGGAATTACGCACTCTGCACAGGAAAGTGTTGATTGCCTTTGACATCTCATCTCTTCTCACATGTAGGATGTGAGATTTGAGTGATTTGAGCTGGAGGAATAGTTAATGGCTTAACTTCAGTGCTTAACTATTTTGACTGGGAGGGAGAAGAATAGTGCTAGTATGAAGGTACTTTAAAGTGTTCATGGACAAATGGATTGAAATCCACACTTAGTTTTGTTCCATAGTAAACATTATCTACAAACTTTTGAAGACCCCTCATATTGTTACAGAATAATGTTCAGCTCTTAAATAGATCCATATAACTATATAGGTTATGAACATTTAAAGTAATATAAAATGCCATTGATTAATCTTTCTCTTTATTATACGTATATATCATGCATCTATAATTCATGTCCATATATTTAGTACCCATATTCCATGTGTTATATGTATTTAGTAAATTAATTAGAACTCGGGTAGTATTGGATGTTCATTTTGACAGGAAGCAATTTGAAGGAGAATATTTTATAACCGTGGTGATTGTTACTGTGTCAGTGATTGTTTATAATAATTTATGCTTGTACCTTAACACAATTTAACATGTGCTGTGTTTTGATTGCTCAGAGGTATCCTGTGGTGATGTCCACGTATCTTGGAGTTATGGGTCGAGTGCTACTACAAAATGCTAGTTTCTTCTCTTCACTGCTCAGTGAGATGGCACATAAATTTAATCAAGAGGTAAGAGTCAGTATACCTAAATTTTTTTTTAATTTACTTTAAACTTTATTTGAAAGGCAGAGAAACAGAGAGAATGATTATCCATTGGTTCATTCCCCAAATGCCCTTAATGGCTGGCACCAGGCTGTGGCAAAGTTGGGAGCCAGGAACTCAATCCAGGCCTCCCACATGGGTGGCAGGAACCCAATTATTTGGACCGTAACTACTGCCTCACGCTGGAGTCAGGAGCCAGAGCCAGTTACTGACCCCGGGTACTGTCATATGGGATTCAGATATCTTCAACAGAATCTTAACAGATGGCCAGACATCCAGCCTCTTTATTCCATTATGTGGACATACCACAGTATATTTCAATAGTCCTCTCTTGGTGGACATTGATTTGTGTCCATGTCTTTGTAAACACAAACAGTACTACTGCAAAGGATAATCTTGTGCATTCTCATTTCACGCAGAAACATCTACATCTGTAGATCAGTCTAGAAGCCAGACTGAGTCAAAGGCTAAAGGAATCTGTAGTTGTGAAGGCTGTTGCCAGCCCGTTCTCCGTTGGGATGATGTTAATCTGTTCTCCCACGAACCTTGGATGGAAGTACCTGTGTCTCTAAAACCTTGCCAAGGGAATGTGTTATTTTACTACCACTGCTATCTAAATGACTATAACAGATCAGTACCTCTTACTCTGCTCTTGCACACCAAACACAAAATATTGGACAATAAGCTGTTGAATATTATCTTGGCCAGTGAATAGGAGAATTGGCACTCCACTGTAGCTCTATTCTGCATTTATTTGATTTAGTACACCTAAATTTAAGGAGGTATTTATCCATATATAAATTAGAAAGAGTTTGATGAAATAATAAATCCGTCTAAGAGTCTTTTTGTAATATTTAAAATTTTACCTTTTGTCTTTAATAATTTGTGTTGTACCCATAACCTGGAGTAGAAGAATGAAAAGGGAATATGTAAAAAGCAAATGAAACTTGCACAGCTTATTCTCACTCAAAATAGGCAATTTTATTTTGCATAGCCATAGAATAGAATTTTAATTTATGGTTGCTATTTCTCATTTCTGACACATAATCTGAAATAGGAATATTTATGATCTTGTGCTGTTTTTGTTTCATTTTTTAATGAACTTGTTTTAATGCCATGAATTGAGAGATTTTCCTAATTATTGTGGAAAATAACCTTTTCAGCAAATGTTTACTAAAAATACTGTAGCTGAAATCAATGACCAGGATAAGTTTTGAGTAGATTCTTAAATGATTAGGTATCTTGAGACTGTTTATATGATATTCAAATAAGATTTTTATGTTTTCATTTGTTGATCTGTTAAGATTTGTAAGATATACAAGGTAGAGTGTACTTGATATTTCTGTAAGGGAGACAATTTGTGAAATCTTTTGATTTATGACTGAAACAAATATGTAATTCATGGAAATTCAGAGAAAGTATACATTTTAGAATGTGTGTGCAGTTTTTCTAAAGTTAAGCTACTAAGGATCCCAGCCTTGTTTATTGGATAGGAGAGAATATCATTAGCTTATCAATTTTAGCTGTGATGAGAAAATGTTGAAGAAAAGTTCAGCAAACAAATTTGTTTTAAAGATTTATTTATTTACTTGAAAGAGAGAGAGGGGGATCTTCTGTTCTGTAGTTCACTCTCCAAATGACTGCAACAGCCAGAGCTGGGCCAGGACAAAGCCAGAAGCCAAGACACCATAGGATAATAGGTGTGCCGGTGCCGCTAGGCGGAGGATTAGCCTAGTGAGCCGCGACGCCGGCCTATTTCATTCTTAAATTTAATTTCAGTTATTGAAAGGTGGAATGTACATGTCTGTTGCACTGCTCTAATCCTCAGTCCTGGAAATCAGATTAGATACCTTTATGTTAGTTCTCCTCTACCTTAATTTTTGGTTTGTATTTTTCAAGATGAAGTCATTGGATGACCTTTAATGTTCAAACTGGGAAGTTCCTTGGGCAAAGAAGATCTTGAAGTATCTGACAGATATCACATTGCTTCTCGCAATAATCTTAAATATTCTTTTGAGTTTATTGTGCCATCTTAGAGTATGGCGCACAGATGGGGAACTAAAATTTAGTGTAAGTGGCCAGTTTGAACTTATAAGTGCTTTCATAACTGTTGATTATAAATAATGTGTTGAAGTATTTCTTGGCAAAAATGCGGGAGCACTAGAGTAGAAAAGAATGGGAACTGAAGGTCAGTTTCATGTTACCAAGTCCATAATTGTGGAGACTGACATGTTGAAATGTTGTAGGACAGGCAAGAAACTGACAGAATTTCTTTATTAAAATTTTGAGACAAAATTTGTTTTTCAGAGGGGCCAGCATTGTGGCATAGTGGGTAAAGCCCCTGCACCTACATAGGAGACCCAGATGAAGCACCTGGCTTCATTCTGGTGCAGCCTTGACCATTGTGGCCATCTGGGAAGTGAACCAGCGGATTCTCTCTCTGTAGCTCTTACTTCCAAATAAATAAATAAAATCTTAACAAGAAAACTTGTTTTTCAGTTTTTGCTCTAAAGTCTCAACTGATTGGCTACAGGCCTCTCTCATTATCTAGGGTAATCTTTACTTAAAATTCTCTCATTGCAGTTACAAAGCATATCTACAAAATACACAGCAACTTGCAGACTGACTAGTGTTTAGGCAATTGAGTACCTAACATTGCTGGGTTGACATGAAATTAACTATAATGCTAATCCTGTATTATATTCATTTATTTTTTTTTATAGTTTTTAAGAAAGCTTTTACTTAATGAATACAAACTTCATAGGTATAGCTTTAGGAATATAATGGTTATGTTGATTTATTTTGCCTTTATTTTGATGTTGATTATAAATGTTGTAGGAAATTATTCACTTGTTTTCCTTTGAAATTCTGCAGGTTGAGGTCACAACCTCACCTTTATTCTGAGCATAGCAGCAAATCAATCCAGGAAATTTTAGAACATTTATCAGTAATAATCTATAATTTAATAAATAAACTATAAGTACAAATTGACAGTTTTGAATAATGCATGAACTTTTTCAGTGTACCAGGAAGAGAATATTGATTGGTGTATAAATGAAGTTACCAAAATCACTCATTAGGGCTGTGCTGTGGTGTAGTGGGCTAAGTCTCTGCCTTTGGCACCGGAATCCTATATGGGCACCGGTTCAGGTCCCTGCTGTTCCACTTCTGATCCAGCTCTCTGCTATGGCGTGGGAAAGCAGTAGAAGATGGCCCAAATAATTGGGCCCCTGCACCCATGTGGGAGACTCAGAAGAACCTCCTGGCTCCTGCCTTCAGATCAACTTAGCTCCAACCATTATAGCCATCTGGGGAGTGAACCAGTGGATGGTTCTTTGTCTCTTCCCTCCCTCTGTAACTCTGCATCTCAAATAAGTAAATAAAATCTTTAAAAAAATCACTCATATTTTATATACAGCTTTTGAATAAATCTACTTACCTGTCAAGATTAATTGTAGGCCAGTGCCACGGCTTACTAGGGTAATCCTCTGCCTTGTGGCGCCGGCACACCGGGTTCTAGTCCCGGTCGGGGTGCCGGATTCTGTCCCGGTTGCCCCTCTTCCAGGCCAGCTCTCTGCTGTGGCCAGGGAGTGCAGTGGAGGATGGCCCAAGTGCTTGAGCCCTGCACCCCATGGGAGACCAGGATAAGTACCTGGCTCCTGGCTTTGGATCAGCGCAGCGCGCCAGCCGTGGCGGCCATTGGAGGGTGAACCAACGGCAAAGGAAGACCTTTCTCTCTGTCTCTCTCTCTCACTGTCCACTCTGCCTGTCAAAAAATAAAAAAAAAAAAAAAATTAAAAAAAAAAAGATTCATTGTAGTCAATTTCTGGTTTTGCTCAAATTAACTCTTATGAGCTGAAGACTTAGCCTAAATTCAGGTATGCTAGTTTTGTGGTTTGGTGGAATTGAACTTTAGCCATGACAGGAAATTTTGGCTTTTAACAGTACTTGTCATCAATAAATAGTATTTCAAATATTTTGAAACCCCTCATCTTTTTTAGATGGACCAGCTTTTGGGAAACATGATTGAAATGTGGGTGGATCGAATGGACAACATTACCCAGCCCGAAAGAAGGAAACTTTCAGCTTTGGCTTTGCTGTCTCTCCTGCCATCTGATAACAGGTAAGGAAACGTTTTCTTAGCTTGGTTTCTTTGAAGCATCAAGGTTAACATTGTTTTTGGCCATCAGTGTTGCTTTTTTGTGTATGAGTGGTAGTGTTAGCAGACACTGATATGGCAAGTGTTGGTCCAGATCTAGAAAGGCATAAATGGGAGATTTACTCTTTAGTTTTTGGGCTCCAGTTTAATTTGATTTATTATTCATTTCCTGTTTTTGTCTAGATTTCCATTTTATGATCACCAGATTTTAGTACACTTATTTTAGGCTCCTTTTATACAGGTATATTAAATATCTAATATTTAAAATCAATAACACTTCAAAATATAAAGTATGATAATTAAATAGTATTAATAAATGATATTCTTTTTTATTTTGACTTGTCTCTAAGGAAGTTTGCAAGGTAATTTTTTTCTCAATACATAGATGAACATATTATACTTGAAATTCTTGTTTCCTTAAACAAGTACAAAATGCTTTGATTTGGACATTTACAGAAGAATGCATTGTTGTTGTTATCCTTTGTGGAATTTGGCATTACAAGCTTTATTTTTTTTTAAATACCTTGGTTTTGTAACTTTGACAATTATTAGTTCTCATACATACTAACTGTAGATTTTTTGAAAGTGGTGAAAGGTATGTAAGTAACCAATAGAGAGAGCTTGTATAGTGCTTCTTCATCCTTACTATGTTTCATGGACAACCATACACAGACACAATGTGGGACGTTGCTTTTTTCTCTGGAGTGGTTTCTTGAGCCTGGTGTCCTTGTGCACATCTGGGGTCCCCATCTACTGCACGGCAGATTGACAGATTTCTTTGAGTTCCTCACGGACATTTTCAAAGCCCACTCCGTGAATGAGCTCCTAAATGTTGGTGGTATTTTCTTGGGTTGCTACCCGTTAGTGGTGTAACAGCCCTTCTTTTGCCTTCCTTCTTCTGTCAGAGCCATTCTGCCAGTCTATTTTGTTTTTTTCCTACTTTTGATTTTAAAAGCAGGCCTGAAGACTTGATACTGTGTGAGAAGAATACTGATAATATATTACATTTCTGTGTCTTGAGGAATTTGTAGAACATGTATGTCCTAGTGATAAATTAGTGAAGTCCAATTTGTTTTAGAAATCTGCTTTTCTGGCCGGCGCCGTGGCTCACTAGGCTAATCCTCCGCCTGTGGCGCCAACACACCGGGTTCTAGTCCCAGTCAGGGAGCCGGATTCTGTCCCGGTTGCCCCTCTTCCAGGCCAGCTCTCTGCTGTGGCCAGGGAGTGCAGTGGAAGATGGCCCAAGTGCTTGGGCCCTGCACCCCATGGGAGACCAGGAGAAGCACCTGGCTCCTGGCTTTGGATCAGCGTGATGCGCTGGCCGCGGCGGCCATTGGAGGGTGAACCAACGGCAAAGAAGACGTTTCTCTCTGTCTCTCTCTCTCTCACTGTCCACTCTGCCTGTCAAAAAAAAAAAAAAAAAAAAGAAAGAAATCTGCTTTTCTTTATGAATTATTTATATCATTGGATAATTTAGATTAAGAACATAGGTTATTATTTTGTCCTAGCACTGTAGTAGTAAATAATAAATCCAATATGCCGTGCACTCTGCTACGTACATTCTGTTCATGTCTCATTTAATCCTCTAATAGTTCCATGATGTATAGGCAGGATTATCGCCTTCTTACAGAGCAAACAAGTGCTTAAAAATGCTAAATAACATTTTAAATGTCAGATATGTAGCAAGTGGCATGACATTTGAACCTAGGCAGCTAGCTCACTGCCAGTATTTTCTCTACTAACTACCAGGTTATTCTGCTTCCTAGGTGGACACACATCAACACATTTCCTTCCCATGAAACTGGGTGGTATTTTACTTACTTTTGGAAACCAGATTTAAACTATCATATTTTAATTCATTATGGGGTTTCTCTTATGGGAAAACAATGACTTGAGAATTTTTCAGACTTTTAATATCAAAATGTTAAAGAACCCAGTCCTTCGTAGAGGTCAGCACTCTGTAAACATTTGTTAGGTAAATTAGTGAGTAGGAAGAATATTGACGTTAATAAAGTGTATTAGAGTTTTGTTCTCGTACCGAGATTACTGAGAGAAAGCTTGCAGTGGCGTAGGTTCGGAAATACAGCAAGGTGTCTATTTGTATCAGAAGCATACTTTTTCATGAGAATACTGTTTGCTTTGATACCTAATTTTATGCAAGTATGTGGTTGTTCCAAAAATATTTTTGGCATATAAGTTAAGGAAATTTAATAGTTGAATTCCATTGGAAAAGCTAATTCTTAGACTGAGGCTTATTTCAGCCCACATAAATTGAGGGGTAGGACTTTATTAAGACTTAAAATTTCCTTAAAAATTAAAATTTGAAAGTTGAGAACTAATATCTTTGAGACAGGACAACTGTATTTTATTTTTGTTGTTAAAATGAAGAATTGGCAATTATTACAGGCATTAGTAGTGAGCTCATGTTATTAAAGAAACAAAGTCTTGAATAATGTAGGGGTAGAATTTTACAGAATAATGATTTAACTTTGTAATATCCTTAATAAGCTAGTGACTATCAAAACATTGAGTAATACAGAAAATATAACAACTTGAAGTAAAACTTTAATCACACTGAATCATAGTAGCAATTTGCCACATTGTCTTTGGCTTATAATTTAGTAGGATTTATAGTCATATGCTTTAGTGCAAAGGAATGTTGATATTCAGGTTAACAGTTTGATTGTTGCCCATTTGTAATCTTTCTTTTCCTTAACTACAGATTTTGTGCTATGCCATTTCCTTTTCCTAAAATAAGCCAGTCTAAAGAATAATATTGATGATTTTTAAAATCAGGCTAAAATGGGAAACATCATTTTTTCCCCTTTGATTTTAATGGATTTTAAAATGTGGAATTAAATCCACTCTTCTTAAACAGGGTTTTTCACCCATAGCATTAGTGATGTTTTGAGCAGATGATTATTTGTCGTGGGGCTGTTTTGTGCATTGTAGGATCTTTAGCAGCATCCCTGCCATCTACCCACTGCTCCCTTCCCGCTTCAAATCACAGCCATCAAAAATGCCATCAGACATTGCCAGGAGACATCCCTCAGGTCACATTGTCCACACTTTAGAATCACTAATCTGAAGAATGACCATTTGGGAAACCACCAAATTCTCTTTTCCATTAAACCATTACTTCTGGTTCAGAAATTTGGTGGACTATAGATTTTAGAACCCCACCCCGATCCAAGAGCCATCAATCGCTTGCTGTTGACTGAGCCTAGTTATTTAACTCCTCTGCACCTAAATTTCCTTGTTTTTAGGATGGGGGATTTAATTGTATTGTCCTAATGCAGTTGTTGTAAGCTTACCTGAGTTTCCTTATATAAAGTGAAACTGCATACTTGGGGTTAGCTGTTCTTATTTTACTCCTTTCTTTTGACCCATATAATGTAGTCATAATTCTGAAACCTTTGGTTTCTCTATGCCCATGTATTCATTTTTAATTCAGTACATTTTCAGATATGTTGAGTATCTGTATACTTCTTCATTAATTTAAAAACATCTTAACCACATATGTTCTAAGGAATCTTTTTTCACTAATTGTCCATTTCCTGACCTGACTTTCTAACCACTGTTTGCCCATGTGTTCTCTCCCACTGGTTTCTGGACAACAATGTTTACATTACTAGCATTAGGAGTGTATAAAGTTTGCTATTTTGTTCAGCATTTTCATTCATTCGTGAACATCTACTGTATTAAATTATTTTAATATTACAGTGTGAGATCATTCTAAATTTGCCAAAAGGTTTTCAAAATATAATATTTAAAAATTTATTTTTTCTGGGGCTGGTGCTATGGCGCAGCAGGTTAATGCCCTGGCCTGAAGCGCCGGCATCCCATATGGGCACTGGTTCTAGTCCTGGCTGCTCCTCTTCTGATCCAACTCTTTGCTATGACCTGGGAAAGTAGTAGAAGATGGCCCAAGTGCCTGGACCCCTGCACCCATGTGGGAGACCCGGAAGAAGCTCCTGGCCCCTGGCTTCCGGACGTTGTGGTCAATTAGGGAGTGAACCATCGCATGGAAGACCTCTCTCTCTTTGCCTCTCCTCTCTCTGGGTAACTTTAACTTTCAAATAAATAAATCTTTAAAAAAAATTTTTTTTTTCTCATTTGTTGAAAGGCAGAGGGAGAGAGAGATTCAGACAGATAGAGGTCTTCCATCTGTTGGTTCACTTCCCAAATGACGGGACTGGGCCATTCAGAAGCCAGGAGCCTAGAATTCAAGCTGGGTCTCCCACATGGGTGGAAGGCACCCAGGTACCCATCACCTCCTGTCACCTCCTGGAGTACACATTAGTAGGAAGCTGGAACCAGGAGTGGAGCTGCAACTCAGACATAGGCACAGCCTATAGCCATTCAGAATAGAAGTGTTAACATGTACCACCAGTGTTAACCAGATTCAAGTAGGGGATTAACACAGGCTGGGAGGTCCAGACTTCCCTGAGGAAATGAGGGAGAGTGGAAACTCTGGTGAAGCTGTGGAATGAAACTGCACTTTCCAAGAACACCCAAGGTCCTGCAGGGGGAGGGATCAGGGCACCCGCAGGAAACAGAGTAAGGCCTGGAGCAGGGGCACGTGGGAGCAGCAAGGCTGCAGGGCTAGACGGAGAGTCCGTCACAGACTTTCGGAAGCCAGGGCCAGGAGAGAGGCCTGTTTTGTGCTTAGAGAGGAATTATGCAATTGCTATTTTCCCTGTAACCAAGCTGTTAACAGATAAATTACTTCTTGTCATGGGGGGAAATTTAACAATCTGTTTTGCTGCTGCCCCGCTTGTTACATGCAGGCCCAACTCGCAGGGTCCACATGTTGTCGGCATGGGTGGGGTGTGGGGTCTGCGTGTTGTCGGCATGGGTGGGGCAAAGGTTCTGAGAAAAATTTCGGTGAACATGTTTGCTTTATTCATGAGCAAGCACACTTTTTTTTTTTTTTTAAGATTTATTTATTTGAAAATCAGAGT